CTCTCTCTCTCTCTCTCTCTCTCTCTCTCTCTCTCTCTCTCTCTCTCTCTCTCTCTCTCTCTCTCTCTCTCCTCAAGGGGCGAGGGGAATCACATGACTGTGAGTAACTGATTTAGCCAAGTGGCTGCAACTCCAGAGTTTGCTGCAGAGTCCCCTCCCGGCGGGAGCGCTGACGTCACGGAAAAGCCCCGTCGCGGGGACGCCGAGCTCTATAAACGGCGGCCAGAAGCGGTGGCTTTAGGAGGCAGCACTGCCAGCGGATACCACACAGCCTCGGGTTGCGGAGCCAGCATCGCAGGCACCAGGCATTGCAGCAGACATTGTGCCGACAGACGGCAGACGTCCACCCAGCGGCCGGGTGCAACCAAGTAAGAGGGCATCGCCGAGGGGCAGTCCGGGCAGGAGTCGCGGTGGGGAGGGGCGTGCCTGGTCCCTGAACTTAAGTTGGGAAGGGAGCCCCTAGGCGGCAGCGAGGTCTGTCCTGGGAGTTCTGCCATGGGAGAAAGAAGTTCAGGTGCAAAGGATGAGCTTCTCATGGGGGTTCTTTAATTCAGTTCCCACGGAAGTGTCACCTTACCGAGTAGGTGGTCAGGAGCCCAGTTCGCCAACCCAGGGACCGTTTTTAATGACTTAAAAAAGAAACCGGCTGGTTCTGGCTAGTGGCTTAGGAGTCGCGGTGTGGAGCAGGGTGTGTAAGCTCTGTGCGAGCCTCGCGCTCACGCGGGGCACTTGCTGAGTTAACCGTGGATGCTTCTGCGTTCTCTCGGGTAGTCTTGGCAGAACAGACTGCCCTGACAGGCGAGGAAATCTTGCAATGAGAAAGTTGTAGGAAGTTGTTGAGTGTCTTTTCACTGAGTTTTTGGTTTTCTGACTTACTTCAAGAAGGTGAAACTAATTAAATAGATGAGCTAATTAAATAGATCTCGGAGTGGGTGAGGTTCGTTAAGAACGAAGCACTTTCTGTGTAAGTTTGAGGTGTCCAAATGTGAGCAGGTCCTGCCGGGGTCAGAAGGACGAGGCTCAGGGATAGTATGCTAAACACTATCCATGAGCAAGGGGGCAGAGGTAAGGCATAAACCTCAAACAGAAGCCACCCCACTCCCCAAATAATGCTCTCTTCATGCAGCTGGAGAACATCAGGGCAACTTTACTAAACATGGAAGTTCCCCCAAAGTGCCTGTCCAGCTCAGCCAGGGGAGTGATGTCATTGCCACGTGTTTCCCACTGAGGCACAAAAGCCTGTAAGACGCTGGTGCGATTAAGAGCCATGTTTAGACAAGAGCAGCTAACCCTGGCCAGCTGGTCCCCATGGTGCAGACTTGTTGCCAATGGTAAAGCCATTTCTGGACGCAGTGGGTTCTTCCAGCTGCCTCTGCGCCAGCTCCCAGTGGGATTTTCAAAGTTACTTTAGGGATGGAGGAAGCTTATGGGCAGTTGGTGATGCTACTGGAACCGCAAATGACAGCCTGCTTGAGAAATCAGGTTCTCTCTCTCTCTCTCTCTCTCTCTCTCTGTAGCTGAAAATTTTGCTTGCTAGGTAGGGCCTTGGTGACTGTTTCATTGGTGTTCCTTACAGTAAGAATGCTTAATTCTTACCCATCAAATGAAAGACCACCGACAAGGACCGTGTTTGCACCCCCTTGGGCCTAGTTCATCCTTGCTAATATTGGCATCTTGTCTACTTGGCTTCCCAGGACCCCACAATGACTCTGAATAATGTCACCATGCGCCAGGGCACTGTGGGCATGCAGCCACAGCAGCGCTGGAGCATCCCTGCTGACGGCAGGCATCTGATGATCCAGAAGGATCCCCACCCTTGCAACCTCCGCAACGGCCACTCCACCGCTCCGGAAGACCACTGCCGGCAAAGCTGGTCCTCTGACTCCACGGACTCCGTCATCTCCTCTGAGTCAGGAAGCACCTACTACCGAGTGGTGCTTATAGGGGAGCACGGGGTGGGCAAGTCTACCTTGGCCAACATCTTTGCAGGTGTGCATGACAGCATGGACAGCGACTGTGAGGTCCTGGGAGGTAGGTGGCCCAGCCCTGGTGGCCGGAAAAGCAAGAGTGCTTGGGTCATTTTTCCTGCAGCATTGGAAGCCAGGTGTAATGATGTGCATTTGTGATCCCAGCTCTGGGAAGGCAGAGGCAGAAGGACTAGGAATTCAAGGCCATCTTCAGTTACATAGTGAGGTTGAGGTTAGCCTGGGCTATGTGTCGCTGCCTCAAAAAATAATAAATCAAAACAAAATGTATCTTCAGAATTAGGAGGAAATGAGTGCCTTCTTGGTACTGAAATGGGCAGCCGAGGCCAACCCCAGTCCCTGCACAGGCCCTTGGGACAACAAAGAGAAGAACACGCGTACACAGCACCAGAATCTATTGCCTGAGCCATCAGGGACTTTCTGAGGTCAAGTCCGAGGGGTCCAGGGAGGCTGACTCTGGCCTGGATAATTTTTGAAGAGTTGATCAGCCCAGACCCTTTTTCTGTGATTATGCATAAAACCAAACTGATTTTGGGGGAACACAGAACTCTGTTAGAGTACATCATTTAGCTGTGTCCACTAATAGTGGAGGAATTTACAAGTGTAGCTGGGTCAAATGCTATACTTGAAGTAACATCATAATTTTAAAAAAAATCAAACTATAAAAATGATGATAAATGCCCTGTGTAGAGTCTGGCAGGCTTTCCAGATGGTTTTTTTCCATATGGTCTTATTTCAAATATTTATTTATTCATTCCTTACCTAATTCTAGACCTAGTTCATTAAAACATACATTATACCACCACAGGTGATAGCCTTACATTCTGGGGTAGACATTACAACTCTAATGATCAGCTATTTCCATGCAGTGTCCTTCAGCTGAAACCCCAACATCAGCACACACGCCCAGAGCAGCGGCATACCCCATTTACAGTGTAGAAATGGAGGGAGGCGTGCTCAGTGTTTGGACGCTTCACACGGTCTGTCTCCACTTTCAATTAACTGTACACCTCATGGCAGACTTGGGGGTCGGGGGGAACAAGGATGGGAAAGATGACTTCTATGACTCGTTTCTCTCTACTCAACTGTGTAAACCCTGGTCCTCACTACCATGGCCCGTGTCATTCTCCTCAGCTGTCTTCCTGTCAGCTCAGGGACCCACCAGAAATGATGACTCAGTGACATAGTATCCATTTCTCTCCTCGCTTCTGGACTCGGGACTGTAGCTAAGCTGGAGTCAAGGGAGACACAGGGCAGGTGTGCAGCTGCTTGGCTCTTAGTGTAGACTGGTGGGTGCTAGAAGAAAGCAGAAGAGGGGGGCTGATACCAGAGTGAGCGTTGGTGGTGGAGGGGGCGCTCTGTGGCGTGCCTCCTGTTGGCTGTCTAGGCCTATCACGGAATTCGTCTACCTGTGTGTGAATGGGGTCTTGGAGAACCTGAGCGGCAGATGGAGAATCACCCCTTTGGGGAAGCTGCGTGTGGGGGCTGGGCTTTTATCATTCACGTTGGTGCTCTTTCACTCCACCATGCATGGGGCTCACGCTGTGTGCTGGCACTGTGTTAGACCTTTCACGTGTGCTTTTGGCAATGTGTACACGGATAGAAACAATACGATGCTACTATCCCCACTTTCAAGGTGTTGGGGCCGAGGCTGACAGAGTCAAGTGACTTCCTTCACCGTCCTTTGCAGGCCTAGGATTTAACTTCCGGGTACTGTTGAGCACACAGCAGGTGGGATAACCCTGTGCAGGCTTTGGGTACCCAGCGATGGCCAACTGTTAGAGTTCAGTGCCAGGGGCTGTGATTTAGAGCGTGGCGGCATTAGAAGTACCAGGAAAGTAACAGTAAACTGCTCTGAGGGCTGGTAGGGCTGATACAAGGAAGGGATTGGCCAGGTGGTGTTGTTTTATTTGTTTAAAGAGGGAGGAGTTGAAAAGTTAGTGGATAACAGGCTTCTAAAAGTGTTTGCCTATTCAAAGGGGGCGGTATCAGCGCAGAGGGTAATATCTGATAAGCATAGAGGGATTGCCTGATCTGCAGTTGGAACTGGGAAAGATAGGAGTTTCTTTGGAGAGCAAGGGGCTGGGGCTCTTCCTTAACTGCCTGCTCTCCTGAGCCTCTGATAGAGAAGCTTCTCAGTGATGGACATGCCCTGTCTTCCTTCTTTTGTTTGATTTAGAAGTGGACTCTTATTCGCATGGACTCATTAGCTTTGTGTTTCCCCAGAGGAAGGGTTTCCAGGGCACACCCATGCATTGTTTCCTCTTTCCAGCATTAATGGGGGGGGGTGCACACACTGGTCTCCCCACATTTCTCCTAATAAAGATGGCTGTCATTCCAGACTATTGCAATGGTCTTATGGTTCTCTGTGCATGGTTGATTCCACCCGTGCATCCACCCACTCATCCATTCATTGATGCGTTCACTTCGAAACAGCTACTTAGCACGTACCACAGCACTTGACGGGGCACAGTGGGGTGCAGAGTCCTGGAGCTTCCTCTTGGCAGTGCCTCACAATGTACGATGGAGGTCAGACACACACCAACAGGAAAGCAGGCTGGGATGGGACAGCATCCTGAGGACAAAGTGGAATTCAGAGGAAAGAGTTCTGCCTGTGGGGGTCAAAAAAGGCTTGGCGGAAGAGGCCATCTCTGGGCTGGCAGCTCCCGTGTACTCACGCGTACACAGGTGGTCTGGCAAAGAGCTCTGGGTTTGAAATATAAGGCGCAGGTTTAGAATCTTCCACCCCGAGGTGATGCAGGCTTTAGCTATGTGCCCTTGGCTCAGCCTCTTCACCCCAGGAAGTTTTTCACTGGTATAATTGGGGAGACACATCCTAGGGTGTTCTGGGGACCAGGGGAGAGAACAGTAAGTGTGGTACAGCGTGGGCCTGCGGTGCACACAGAATAAACACTCTGCATCTCCATCTCTGTTTCTGTAGTCTGTCAGAAAATTTAGCCTTGGGTAATTTACATCGTTTAGAGCCACGTGGGAAAGGAAGGGCAGCCCTCAGATTTGAATTCCGGTTTGTGTGTGTCCCGAGCTGCAATGCCGTGGCGTTGGCTGCTTATTCATTCAGTGCTCAGGTTTATATCGAGTGTGTACAAAGGGTCAAACACATGGTGGGCACGGGGTGAGGGGAGCCACAGAAAGCAAAGCAGCTACAAATCTCTGTCCAAGGGAGACAACCGGGCAGGGGGCTAGCACAGTGCGGGAAGTAACTGGTGTGTGTTGCATGCTAGGTGGGATGATAGGATGCAAAAATGCGTAGTTCAGGGAAGGAAATGCAGAGCTCCCGTGCGATTTTAAAGGCACATTCAGAAAACACCCCGTTAGCAGGGACAAGCCTCGCAGGGACCTAAAGAAGGAGAGCCAGGCACAAGGACCAAAAGAGATACACTGTCATGAAAGTTACAGTTTTCAAAAGTTGCAATTAAAAGCAGGAAACCCAGAGTAGGCACGGGGTCGTTGTGCAGGGTTGATGGGAAAACCTCTTGCAGAAAAATTCCAGGACAGCCTGCCCTTCCAACCTGACAGGGTTTTTCCAGATGGAACTCCTCTGGCCCTTGATTGCTCTTACCCTTCACCTACTGCTAATCTAGGCCCAAGTTCAGGGGGAAAGTTTCCATGACCAAGTGAAGTTGCATTTAACAGGAAAACACAAACTGTGTTGTGTATTTATTTTCAAAGATGGAGAAGCCAGGTGTGATGGCACATTCCTGTAATCCCAGCACCTACAGGGCAGCTTCCAGGCCAGCCTGGGAGTTCTAGACTGGCCAGGGCTGCGAGTGGGAACCCATCACACCACAGCCTAAGGCAACGAAACAAGGGGCAGCGGCTGGAAGAAAAGAAATGATGGACCAATTAGGGACATCTCCAAATATTTGCTCTTGTGTGTCTGCACAGAGGAGAAACATTGCTAAGCTTAGAGTCCCTGAATTTTCCATTGAGTAAATGTTCAGGGACCACCCACTGGAGCTCACAATGGATTTTCCATGAGGCCCATGGAAACAGAGCTTATAGTTAAAATGTCCCACGACGGAGCTTACCATTAATGCTTCCTTAGGGCTTTGTCCCTTGAATTGGGGTCAAAAGTTCTTCAGGGGTTTATTTATCCTTATAAATGGCTTTTCTCCAAAGAGGCTCAAGAATGATGGGAATAAGTTCCCTTTAATTCAAGCGATTTAGCCATCCACATACAAGACTGTGGGAGATGTCTTAGTAGGACTGGAGGACTGTGTGTCACATGTCAAAGGAGAGCGGTAGTGTGTGTGTGTGTGTGTGTGTGTGTGTGTGTGTGTGCGTGTGTGCAGATACACGGAGAAGTCAGAGACTGAGCCATCTTCCTAGCCCTTACAATAGTCATTTGTTTTTTGCAAATGTTTGTATATTTACATAATTTGTTGTATATGCACTAGTACATTCTCCGTCTCTGTCTGTCTGTCTCCCTCAATGTGTATATGTATGTATAGGGTATACATGTTCTCGTGAGAGCATGTATGTGTGGATATGTGTGCGTGTGCACACGGATTTAAAAAGTCATTCTCAGGGGCTGTTCTTCCTGAACCATCCATGTTGTTTTGTGAGAGAGAACCTTTGGAGTGTTATTTGGAGAGAGTTGAGCTGGCTAGGCTGGCTGGCCAGTGAACCCTAGGGATATGCCTAGGGATACACCCGTTCCTGTGCCTGCCCCCAAAGCAAGGGTTACAAGTGCTTGTTACCATGCTTGGCTTTTCATATGGATTCTGAGGAGCGAACTCAGTTCCCGTGCTTGAGCAGTGAGCACGGTACTAACTGAGAGCTGCCTCCTCAGCCCCCACGGAGCGCATTTTCTAGTGTGAATTTGTCAGGGGCCTTTTATGCCAAAGCATTTCTTCCTCACCTGGCTCTGATAGCAACGTCCTTTGTCTTGTAGAGGACACGTATGAGCGCACCCTGGTCGTTGATGGAGAGAGTGCCACGATTATTCTCCTGGACATGTGGGAAAATAAGGTATGCGTGACCCGTCGCTGTCGGTGTGTTCTTCTGGGGCCTGCCTTTCGACAGGCTGCTTGGTCAGAGTGACCTTGTCCCACATAGTGGATGTTCCGGAGGAGGTGGGCTCATTTGCTTGATTAAAAGCACTTACTTCTGGAGAACGAGAGTGTGCGGAGGAACAGGTCGTCCACAGACGAGCCCTAAAGAACAAACAAATTGCAGTGGCTTGCCCTGAGTTCTTTTAAAAACCACAAGAAGCATATTTGTTTTAGGAAAAGTTCAAGCAAGCGAGGCCACTTCTTTCCAGTGACACAAAACCACCTTGTGTGAAGCCGGCCTTCTTAACACTGCACGCCAGCATGGCTTTGGGCAGGCTTTAGGCCTCCCAGCACATACGCAGGGTCATCTGTTGGTTGAGAACCCTCCTGTTCTCACCAAAGAATTCTTAATTCTACCCTCTGGGGAAGACAAAAGGAAGGTCTTAGGAAGTCAGGTTATTTATTATTTTTGGCAGGTTAAATCGAAATTGGAAACACTGTTTGTCAAAGTGCTTATGCATCAGACCAGTAGTAATTGGAAAGTAAGTTTTTTGGCATAGAAACAATGCAGACTGCCTTTCTTTTCATCCCTAGACGTCTTGGAAGACCAGTGTATTCTGACTGACGTGTTGGAAGCAGTTTTCTTCCTCTCTCTTACTTGGGACAGACACAGTTTCTTTGTGACAATGTCATCTCAATTTCAGAGCTCACGGCAGGTCTTCTTGCTTCTTTAGGGGGAGAATGAATGGCTCCAGGATCACTGTATGCAGGTTGGGGACGCCTACCTGATCGTCTACTCTATCACAGACCGCGCGAGCTTTGAGAAGGCTTCTGAGCTAAGGATCCAGCTCCGCAGGGCCCGGCAGACAGAAGACATCCCTATCATTTTGGTCGGCAACAAAAGTGACTTAGTGCGGTGCCGAGAAGTGTCTGTGTCAGGTGAGGTCCCGGGCACCACCCTTGCACCACACACGCTGGCCTGCAGGCAGGTTCCCTTCCCCTCCCCATTGCAAGGCTGCAACCAGGGGTTCAGTGGGGTGCTCCGTGGAGTTTCATGTCTAAGACACCCCTGGTTCCCATCCTTTGTATTAGTCTCTGTCTCTCGTTCTCTTTATCCTAGTCTTCCTTCAGGGTTCCAGGCTCTCCCCACTGCCCTTCGGGAGTTCTTCCAGAGTTACTTTAGGGAAGAGAGCATCCTCAGGAATGTACTGGCAATCTTAACCTTTGCCCCACGTACTTCTGTTCTCTAAGCAGATTTCAAGTTCAGGGGAGGAAACGTGGCTTATTAATGCAGGGGTGGGAGCTCTGGCTTGGGAGGCAAACGAAATAGCGTTATCCTCGGGTTGTTTATGCTCCGGCTAATACTCTGGAGCCCCAGCCCCTCCTTCTAAACTCCCAGGAGGGCATCAGACTGACGGAAGCACACAGGCTTCTTCGCCCTTCGTTCAAGGATAATTCCTATTTGTCGAGTGTGCCTCTGTATTCTTTTTAGGGACCTCGAGATTGTTTGTATTGGTTTCATGTAGATTTAGTACAACCGTAAAAATAAAATGTGGCGTTTTCAGTCCCTGCTCAGTCAAGACAGTTTCTCCAAGCAGTTGGACCGTCTTGCTAGGACAGGACACAACAGATTCAGTGTTTATATCTTTTCAAACTAAAACTTGGATACATATTTATTAAACCCAATGGAGTTTTAAAAAAGCTTGAATAGTTTGATGTAACAGTATTATATATTTATAAAACCATCATTTTTCCTCAAAAGATCTCATCTCATCATACTTTTTTTTTTATCTTTTTAAAGAGAGGAAAGCTAAGTAGCAGAATTCGAATTACAGGTTTTGGGGAAGGAAACAGAGTCAGGAGAAAGTGTGTGAGCTCGAGCATGGAGCAGGGCTGGACTTGCTGTCTCTGTCAGCTGCCTGAGTTCCTTCATGTTTTTAAAACACCTCAGCCGGTTTCCCCATCTAGTCGATGAGAGAGGCTGCATGCCTGCTGCCTCCCTCCTCCTATAAGGTGGCCTGCTGCCCGATGTTACCCCTCGTGCAGTTTTGGAGACGTGTCCTCCAGCGCGGCCATGTTGTGCAGGACCGTACTCTGCGACCCCTCTGACTTCCTTCTCCCCTTCTCCTTTTCCAGAAGGGAGAGCCTGCGCGGTGGTGTTCGACTGCAAATTCATCGAGACCTCTGCGGCCGTGCAGCACAATGTGAAGGAGCTGTTTGAGGGCATCGTGCGGCAGGTCCGCCTGCGCCGGGACAGCAAGGAGAAGAACGAGAGGAGGCTGGCCTACCAGAAGAGGCGGGAGAGCATCCCCAGGAAAGCCAGGCGCTTCTGGGGCAAGATTGTGGCCAAGAACAACAAGAACATGGCCTTCAAGCTCAAGTCCAAATCCTGCCATGACCTCTCTGTGCTCTAACCACTTTGTGTCACCCAGATGTCCCCCTAGTGGACATCGTTGAAGGTCTCTGGGACCAGTGATCTATATTAGATTGACTACATAAGCATTGTTAGAGATGGCTTCCCCTATTGCGGATGGGAATCGACAGGTTAGCCTCATGGGCAACCACGCGCACGCGCAGGGAATCTTTGTCAAGAGTCAGTATTTATTCGTAGAACAGCTTGGCCTGCTACACGGACACCTGAGACTCGTTTAAGGGCATGTCTGGGGTTCACATGAGCTTTTATTCCCTCTTCTATGGGAAGCAGAATCTCGAAACTTACCAAGAATGCCTAGAACAGGCATGCCTCATCATCTAAGTTTCGCCCAGGTTTGTTCTCTGTGAATCTGATGCCCTGAGTCCTGCAGAAACCTAGGGAAAGGGCGTAGCTTGTCGGAAGGGGGGGGGCTTTCTGCGCACGTGTCTCCTTGGAGTGGCAGTGCAGAACTGTCCCCGTCACGGCTGTGAAGAGAGGCGCTGGAGTTGGCTGGGTGGAGACCGATGGGGAGACCGACGCGGACCAACAGAGTTTGCTTAGGGACCACAGAGATTTGCAGACATCGGAGCTGATCCGTGTAGCACTCAGAGGTTCAAAAAATTGTTTACTTATGTGTCTTAAACAATTGTTTATTTTGAGGAAAGCATTTTCACCAAATTCTACTTAGTCAAATCTTCTTTTTTGCTTTGTTGTTTTTGAAATCATGGAGCTATCATAAAAAGTGCTTTTTAAAAATCTCAACTCATTGACAGCCTGGAGTGCAGAGTGATTGCTCTTTAAATATGGTCAAAAACTGCTTTCCCAACGCATAGAAAGGCCTCATCCCTGTATGCCACAGCTGTGTTCTATTTATTATTATTTTGCAAATAGCCATTTTAACATTTGATAAAGCATATTTATGAACATATTTCTTACTGAGAAAAGTCCGTTTTATTACCTTTTTTATCTTTTTCAAAATATGCAAGTTTTTACCTATATGTCTTATAATAAAATAAAATCTTTGAAAAGGAAGGCATTCTGTTTTCCTCTCCGAATGAGCTAAGTACGATTATTTTTTGTGGCTTCTAGAGCCACCTGCATTGCTAGGAGAGGGACAGAGACACCGCTTCTCCTGTCATTAGTGGTGGCTCAGGCCGCAGCTGTTCCTTCTTTATTTTGTGTAATCCCTGACTCCTGTCCTTTGGAATCACGGCCCTCGGTAAAGAAGAAGTATTTTTGGCTGATTGAGCTGGGAAGTATTGGGGTCATAGAAAGCTGAGCTATAATCAAAGCCGATTGGCCTGTGGGTTTTTGCTTTGGGTCTGGCCAATTCCTGATGGAACAGATGGGCCTGGCATTGTCTCTGAGGGCTCACAGTCTTAGGCGTTACTAAGACATTAGGGGGATTTAAAGCTCTCTCTCTCTCTCTCTTTCTCTCTTTCTCTTTCTCTCTCTCTCTCTCTCTCTCTCATTACATCTATGTATTTACAAACTGCACACATGGCACACACACTACATTTATGCATTTACAAACTGCATACACATATGCACACACACATTACATCTATATATTTACAAACTACACATATGGCACACACGCTCACATACGCCCCCACACACTGCATCTATGCAATTACAAACTGCACACATGGCACATACACATGCACACACATTACATCGATGCATTTACAAACTGCACACACACATTACATCTATGTATTTTTCATATTATTTTTTCTCAAAAAAACTCAGCTTTTGCCCAGCAGAGTGGTGGTGCACACCTTTAATCCCAGCACTCAGGAGGTAGAGGCAGGCAGATCTCTGAGTTCACGGCTAGCCTGGTCAACAGAGTGAGTTCCAGGACAGACAGCGCTAAACAGATAAAAAAAACCAAACAACAACAACAACAAAGGCAATTAGCAAACCCCTCTCCTTCCCTCAGTGGCAGAATCTGACAGACCTCTGAGACAGAGCTGTGCTCAGCACTGTCAGCAGGCCCAGAGCTGGACCCAGGCTGGAGATCAAAGGCTGCACTGCAATTCCAGAGGGCTTGTGGCTAAGAGCTTCAGCCCTAGAGCCAGACAGACCTAGGTTTTGGCACATTAGGGATCTCTCCCAGCCTCATTTTCCTATCTGTACTATCAGGAGAACAAATGCCTTGTGGGATTTGATGAGCCCCTTGCCACCTTCTGGGAGAACCCTGAGCCCTCCCTGTGTTGCAGCATAGGCTCCTCCTCTCCCCAGGCTCCCTCTTTCCTTATCACACACCCAGGCACTGCTGGGTGCTGGGAACAGGATGACTAAGACATTGTCCTTGTCCTCAGAAACCTCATCAGCAGGAAATCTGACTGTTCCCAGTGAACAAAGACGGCATCATTGGACAAGGAAGAAAATAAAACAAAATATGGAGAGTATTATACTTGGAAGGCATTGTGTTTGCTTCCCCAAGGTAAACTTCAAATGAGGGAATATCACAGAAATGCTTTGATTAGATGTGAAAAAGCAAGCAGGCCTTCAAAAATTTATCTTCGAGGGCAGTGGGGCACTGGAGTTCCTGGTCCAGTCTCGGTTTTGCTTCTCAATCCGTGAGCTATGAAATGCAGGAAAGGAAGCAGACGATGAGACATTTCCTTGGTTAAAATCGGGTGCTGGGCTGCATACCTGTAATCTCAGGACTTGGGAGACCGAGGCTGGGGCACCACGAGTTTGAGGCGAACCTGGGCTGTCGAGCCAGACCCAGTATAAAGAAAGATAAACAAGAACTCAGCCATGCTTAAGGACCTCCAGCTTACGTAAGGTTCTGTGGGGGAACACGGTGGGACAAAGCAGCTTGCCTTCAAGAAGATTATGGTGTGGTTCGTAACGGCGGGGAGAGGGCTTGATGGTGAATGCGGACAGCTGCTCAGGAACCTGGCGTGTGATGGGGAAGACAGTGACGGATGTGTGAGATGGGAGCGAGGGAGACAGAGAGACAGAGACACAGAGGGACAGACAGACAGACAAGCAGGCAGACAGACACACAGACACACAGAGATAGAGATGAACAGACACACAGACAGATACACAAACAGAGACAGAGACAGACAGACGCATATATACATAGACACACACACACACACACACACAGGAACTGAGACAGATGGACACATAAACTCATACATAGACACAGAAAGACACAGACACACAGAGAGACAGACAGACACACTGACAGAGAGAAAGAGAGAATGTATGAGGGTGGTCGTGGTTCACAGAGAAGGTGGCCACAAAGCGGTTGGGACAACCAAGTTGTGTATGGAAGACTCCTTGGAGCTGCCAAAGCTGCAAGAGCTATGGAAGGGCTCCCCGTCTCAGATGACAGGGACCCGAGTCCACGTGTTGTTTTAGTCTACGCTTATGTTAGTACCAGCAGTGCTAGGAAACTAAGCACCCGGGTCATTCAGAACGAGGGATCTTAGTTGGCTGAGCCCTGCTCTATTTACCTGAAAGGTGAGGGGAAATGGCACTCACCGCCCAGGAATGAGGCCTGAATGAGAAGCCCTCGTCTTCTTTACTTACTGATTCATCTTCTAAGAGGCGGGGACGGAGTGAGCTGGACAGATAAGCTGGGGAGAAGGTGCAGGCTATGTGACTAATATTCCCAAATAGGGCGTGTCCCTGACACCGCCTTGGGCCGGCTCAAGGGTTGAGGACGTTGGCTGGAACTGGACGGCGAGATTCACTTCCGGTGAGCGGCGGGACGCCCCTGCCTTGGACTGGAGGAAGCAGTGAGGTGGCTTACGCAGAGGAGAGTCCTCAGGTGCAGATGAGGCTCTCTTAGATGTGTGTGCATCCTAGAGAGGACACTGAGGGCCCGTGGTGATCTCATAGGTGGACTAGCAAAGCATGGAGGCCTGGTCCCCGCAAGGGCTGGATGACAGCACAGAAGAGCTCAGGGCAAGATGAAGACATGGCGTGAATGGGCCAAGGGCATGTCTGTATGACCTCACTGGAGTAAGGATGCAGGTTCAGATAGAGGACCGCGTGGAGGGTAGGCACAGAAGACCAGGTGCCCTAGACCTTCCGTGACTGACTGATCCAAACCGCAGGAGCAGGGAACTATGTGTAGGGCACCTGTTTTCCTGGTCAGTGGAAGGGAAAGAAATATATACAAACCAAGGACTTAAAGTTTTCCATAAAGGAATATATACAAGTGATTCTCTCTCTCTCTCTCTCTCTCAGCACAGAATAGCTTCACACATCAATGAGACAACCAGACTCTTACCTCACTACACATTTCAATATTTACGTTTCAAAAATGACAAGGCTTTCAGTAGCCTAAAGTATTTCAGAGCACACCCAGGACATAGAGCATCTTGAAGGAACGTCCCCTTTCGGAACTTCACCTAGGCCACCGTTACTTAGGTTTACTGGGGCAGTGGTCACGTATGTAAACACTAAGGTTCCCCTGCGTCTTTCAGTCTATCAGGAGTTTAACCTCTGGATTTACCTCCTATAAGGAAAATCACACTGTGAGATATACTGAGGCATGGTCCACTAGCATCATCCAGAGACTCCGTGCTGGTGACTGACCTGGAGGAGAAAATGGCTGGCTTGCCTACGGATGTTGGTGGATGCACTCCTGGGAAAATGAGCAACACCAAGGAAGGGCACATTCGTGACGATCGGAAAATGGATGTGGAACAGGCCGAGGAGGCATTCAACTTAAGACATCGGTTTTAACTTGGCTAAAAAACCACAATCAGATATATTTGAAAGCAATCATTTCTCTGTAAACACTAGACCAAGGAGGTGGGAGTGGAAATCCTATTAAAAAAAATCCAGAGGAAATTGCCTTGTGATTCATCTGTTTGATTATAAGACAGAGCTGGTGGCCTGCCATAATGTGTTTCAGTATTTGGAAACAGCTTGTGAGGATCTTGGATTATAGGAGGAATGATCGGGAAAATAGAGTTCCGAGCTGGGTTGGAAAATTAAGAGTAAGTGAAACCAAGCTGTCTTTGGACAAGAACGGCAAACGTCTGAGAATAGTATCGGGGAGGCAGGCGGCCCTGTCATTGGCCCCACTGCCATTCCACGGGGCGCTGAGAAGGGCATATGCTTGCTGTCGTGTGTAAATTATCTGAGTCATTGCCAACAGACTCTGTTGATGAGGATGGGAGTGGCTAATGTTTATTTTGGGCTCTGTCACATGGCAGCACGTGTAACTCTCTTGACTCCAAAAGATGACGCAAACTTAGAGGTTGAGAGGACCTTGGCTATGTCCCCCCCCCACCCCGCTCCTCTTTATACAAAGAATTATCCCCAATCTGACACCAAGTGGTATTTGCCCCAGGTAATTCAGTAGCACAGTTTGATGTAGGTGCCAGATGATCACGGAGACCTCCTGCCATGTCACCTTGGTGCACAGTTGTCAGGCAGAGGCTCTCTGGTACTGGGCTTGTGGGTACGACATTTTCTAGATCACTCTTCCCAGCATACACCTAACAGAACTCACTTGTCCCAGGCTTTTGGCCTCTGCCAGGGAAGGACTGCTTTAGAGAAGCAGTAAGGTTTTATATCAGAGAACGCTGGGCTCAGAGTGGGAAGTCCGAGATACCAGCCCCCGGTTTGCTATTCATGAAATCTTAACCCCTGGACACAGAAGAAGAACAATGTGAACTCTGTTTTTTTTTTTTTTTTTTCTTTTTTTTTGCTAAGATGACAGATGGGGCAAGTGGCAAAGAGAGGACATCTCATTCTCTACAGAGCCATCGACATCCTGGGCACTCAGCATGCTCCAGGACCTGCATGCACTTCATTTGAGTTGATGATGCTGAAGGGAGAATTCCAGGCATCTCGTGTGTGTGGGAAGACCCTCGGGTCAGGGGGATCTCTTGATGACCACCTCCAGTTTGTCTAGCCTTGCCCAGAATAGAGACAGACACTTTTTTTTTTTTTGCCTACATTCTCTGGCCTTGATCACTGTCCCTCAGAATATATAAAGCCAGTTAAAAACATTAGCTGCTAGGAAAATGCTGATGCCATTCCTCCTGGCAGCCGAGGAAGGGAACTCTTAATTTGATTTTCTTTGTCACGCCTCTGGGAGCCTCCTTACAGACTGTCAACGAGAGTGCAATTTTTGGTGCTGAAAGCAAGGATCTTTGGCTAATTGAAAACCCCATTTTGAGGGTGATCTGGTTTATTCTTCTGTTGTTGAGAACAGAGCTTTATCCCATAGATAAATGGGCCCTGGGGCCTCACAGGTGTTTCTGTGAGCAAGACAAGATGTTTGCACAGAACGCAGATATGGGCTGTACACCTGTGTGATAGAGTGTAGTGGGGCTTTCCTTTGCGTGGCCAGCTCCCAAACAACACAGACTTATTATTGATTATGAAACCCCAGGCTTAATTTAGGTTTGTCCCACTAATTCTTATGACTTAAATTAACCTATATTTTTTAAACTACATTCTACCACATGGCTTTAGCTCTCTCCTACTCTGTGTGTCTGACTTTCCCCCATTTCTATGGTGTCTCATGGGGGCCTTGATTTTCCTTTTCCTTGCCCTCCATGGAAGTCCTGCCTATCTCTCCTGCTATTGGTCATTCAGCATTTTATTACACCAGTCACAACGATGTATCTTCAAACAGTATACAAATATCCCATAACATTTCCCCCTTCTTACATACATGAAAAGTAAAGGTTTTAATTCTAAAATAGTAAAACTATATACAATAAGAATAATTATCAAATAAGGATTACATTTACAATGTTCAGCCTATTTATTTGGAGAAATTACTCTATTATCTATTTTGTCTTGATGAATATAGCATTTTATACCATACCTAAACTATTTTTATTATAACTTGTATTACCATCCTAAGAATATCCTTTTAGACCTTTAAACAGTTTTTTTAGATAAACAACTTAAGTTTTTATGTTTCCTAACCTTATAAACTTTATATCTCTTATGTAAATTATTTTTCTGAATTTGATAAGTAAAACCATAATTATAACTAATGGTTTTTCAACCCCACTGAAGACCCGAGAAGGATCTAAAATTACCTGAGTAACAAGAAGCACAGAGTAAGAAACTTCCAAAGCTATAGACATGACAGACATCTGGCTGCCTGGACAGTCACCCAAGGTTCCTCTGCAATGTTGGGGCATTCACTTTTGGCCTATAGGCCTAGAATATGTGACAGACCTATTTGGGGGAAGCAGGATTTTTTTTTCTTTTTTAAAATTGATTTTATTGAGCTCTACATTTTTCTCTGCTCCCCTCTTTTTCCCTCCCCTTCCCCTTTCAACCCTTTCCCATGGTCCCCATTCTCCCAATTTACTCAGGAGATCTTGTCTTTTTCTACTTCCCATGTAGATTAGATCCATGTATGTCTCTCTTAAGGTCCTCATTGTTGTCTAGGTTTGCTGGGATGGTGATTTGTAGGTTAGTTTTCTTTGCTTTATGTTTAAAAACCACCTATGAGTGAGTACATAGGAAAATTGTCTTTCTGGATTAGGGTTACCTCACTCAATATGATGTTTTCTAGATCCATCCATTTTCCTGCAAAATTCAAGATGCCAATGAACATAGTTGAGCACATGTCCTTGTAGTATGTTTGATCATCCTTTGGGTATATACTCAAAAGTGGTATTGCTGGGTCTTGAGGTAGGTTGTTTTCTAATTTTCTGAGAAAAGGCCACACTGATATCCAAAGGGGCTGTACCAGCTTGCACTCCCACCAGCAGTGCATGAGTGTTCCCTTTATCCCACATCCACCCCAGCATAAGTTGTCATCAGTGTTTTTGATCTTGGCCATTCTTACAGGTGTAAGATGGAATCTCAAAGTTATTTTGATTTGCATTTCATTGATATCTAAGGATGTCAATTATTTCCTTAAGTGTTTTTCAGCCATTTTAGATTCCTCTCTTGAGAGTTCTCTGTTTAGGCCTGTACCCTATTTTTTATTGGGTTATTTGTTCTTTTGATGACCAATACTTTGAGTTCTTTATATGTTTTAGAGATTAGTCCTCTGTCCGATGTGGGTTAGGTGAAGATCTTTTCCCATTCTGTAGGCTGCCATTTTGTCTTGTTGATCATGCCCTTTGTTTTACAGAAACTTCTCAGTTTCAGGAGGTCCCATTTATTAATTGTTTCTCTCAGTGTCTGTGCTACAAGGTTATATTGTCGTATTTAGGAAATGGTGTCCTGTGACAATGCATTCAAGTATACTTTACACTTTCTTTTCTATGAGGTTCAATGGGGTTGGTTTTATGTTGAGGTCTTTGATCCATTTGGACTTGCATTTTGTGCCTGGCAAAGACGTGGATTTATTTTCATTCTTTGGCATGTTGATATCCAGTTATGCCAGCACCATTTGTTAAATATGCTTTCTTTTTTCCATTTTATATTTTTTGCTTTTTTGTCAAAAACCAGGTGTTCATAGGTATGGGGTTAATATCTGGGTCTTTGATTTGGTTCCATTGGTCCTCCTGTCTGTTTTTATGCCAATACCATGCTGTTTTCAGAACTGTATCTCTGTATTAGAGTTTGAAGTCAGGGGTTGTAATGCCTTCAGAAATTTTTCTATTGTGCAGGATTGTTTTGGCTATCCTGGGCTTTTTTGCTTTTCCATTTGAAGTTGAGTTCTGTTCTTTGGAGGTCTGTGAAGAAGTTTGCTGGGATTTTGCTGGGCATTGCATTGAATCTGTAGATTGCTTTTGGTAATATTGCCATTTCTACTATGGTAATTCTATCTACCTAAGAGCACGGGAGATCTTTCAATTTTCTGGTGTTTTTTTCAATTTCTTTCTTCAAAGATTTAAAGTTCTTGTCATACAGGTCTTCTACTTGCTTGGTTAGAGTTACTCCAAGATATTTTATGTTATTTGTGGCTATTGTGAAGGGT